AATAAGCCATGGGCAGTGAGAGGCTGCCACTGGCAGCAGTCACTGGGAAACGCCAAGTGCAGTAGTCCCCAGCAGGGCTGACCCAGTTGCGCAGGGCTTCCAAACTGGGAACTGCCAACTGGTGGGGGCTGCGCTGGTGGACAGGGGAGTTCAGGGCATGTGGGGATGCTGGAGTCTCCAACTGCCAAACAGCAGGGACCAGAAGTAGAGGAAAGCTGAAGAAGTGGAAAGTGGCAGTGAGAGGCAACGGCAACTGAGAGATGCTGAGCACAGTAGTGCCTGGCAGAGCTGACCCAGTTGCGTGCGTTTCCAAACCAGGAACTGCTGAGTGGTGGGGGCCACGTGCGTAGATCTGAAGTTTCCGGGCATGCAGGGCTGCTGGTAGTGAGAGCCGCAAGTGGAGGGGACCATGGACAGGGAGTCGTGGAGTTTCCAGACCGGAGACTCTGGGGGCGCCACATGGGACAACAGCACACAGCAGTGCTTGGTATGATAAGCTTCCAGTGCTGCCAACTCAATGAGAGGGCACAGTGGAGACCCGATGCACTGAGTGTGGCTGCACGCAGTCCAGCTAGCAGTTGGGGATCGGCCCAGTGGTACGAGTGTCTCCAGACTGCAGGTGAGAGTGAATGTACGTAAGGCAGGGGAAGGTAGTGGCACTCAGCATGATAAGCTTCCAGTGCTGCTGATCCAGTTGAGGGGGGGCAGCAGCTGCTTAGAGTGCAGTAGGCATGGCTGCGCGCTGCTCTGCTAAACTTCCAGCTCTGCCGACCCAGTTGAGGGGGTAGGCCAAGTTATACAGGTATCTCCAGACTGCAGGAAGGTTGGTTGTTTGCTTTTGTTCTTTTCTTGAAGAAGGCAATGTTTTTTTCCTCTTCTTTTTCTCTTTCTTTTCTTTTTTTCCTCTTCTTTTTCTCTTTTTTCTAACTGTTAGAGAGGTGGGCTTTGTTGAGAAGACCTGTCATTAGCTGTTATAGAGTTGGGCTTTTGCTGTGAGAGGAGCTGCTGTCACCTACACTTCCCTTTCCCTTTATCTCTTGAACCACTGAACAGCCTCACTGCGGCAGCAAGAGCTAGGACAAAGAATTAGTCCCTTTAGAGTACATGGTCTCCTCCTATGGCCAGTGCTACCTACATGAGAGGTGGAGAGGTTAACCAGAGCCCTTCTACTGCAGACTAGAATAGAAGCCAACCAAGACACAGACCCCCATATACTCTGCCAGTTCCTGTAGGAATTGGCTGCTGCAAAGGAGCAGATTAAGGCAGGCCAGAACTAGATATTCCATAGAAAATTTGACTTCTAGAGCAGTAAGGTAGAGCTGTTGCTAGTTCCTACCGCAGCATCCCATGATGTAAGAGGTGAAGAATGCCACGTGTGCTATGCACTGGCAGTGGTCCTCAATAAATCCCTCTAATCCTCTTCTTTGTGCTAGTCAAGCTCTTGGGAAAGACAAGACAACAAAAAGTGCTAAGTTTTGTGCCCTCCTGCCCTTGTACGGTAAGGGGCAAGAGGCAAGAATCCAGCACAGTCTCTCTTTAACCTTTCCTTTAAGACAGCATTATCTATTCCCACCCCAAAGGCACAGAGGGTGAAATATTGCTTAGAGAGGGGGTGGTAGCAGGCAGTAGATGTCCTACTACTCTCCTTCCAGAAGGGCTCTGGGGAGTGCTGTGCATGTGTGTGAGTCTGTGCATGTGTGTGCCAGGGTGTGTGTCTGCACATGTTGTGTGTGCCAGTGTGCACGGCTCTGTGTACACATACAAGTGCTAAGGCACGCATGTGTGCACAGCTGCGTGCATGTGTCTTTTCTGGTGTGCCCAGATATAAGTGTACATATCCTGCTTTGCAGTGTACAGGTATGCTACTGTGCACAGCACTGTGCACATGGATATGCTGACATGCGCATATGTTGCGTGCACTTTTGTGTGCGTATGTGTTAAATGTGCCCGCACAATTGTGAAAAGATCTGTGCTTGTGAGTGTGCACAGGCTCTGCATGTGTGAGCACAGCCCTGTGTGCGATATGTGTGTGTTGATGTATATGACATTGCACACACTGATGTGGACAACTGTGTACACGTGTGCTGGAGTGCATGGGTTAGGCCCGCAGGCATGAGCTACTAGCATGTAGCAGGGCTCTGTGCAGCTGAGCAGGTGCCTGTATTAGCTCTGCATATGTCCCTGGGTGCACGCCCAGAGACGTGGCTCCAGAATCGTGGCTCTAGATACACAGTTCTGCACATCTGGCTGATGTCCCACCTAGGAAAAACAGATGTGTGCATGTTTGTATGTGTGTCACTACTGAGCTCTGCTGGTTGGAGTGGTCCCTAGCTCTCTGTGTACACTCTGTTCTCAGAGAAAGAATTTGACTCCACATTTTCCTTCTACAACTGTTAAAGCAAAGACAGACTGTCTGCCCTAGAAAGAAGGTGAGGCATCCTAGGCACAGCCAGTCCCTTTGTCTCTTTTCTCTAAGAGAACTGCCCTTTCCATGATCCCACAGGCTACACAGCCTAGCACAGATGAGGACCCACCTGGTTACAGGAAGAGCGAGCAGCTATAGCCAAAAAGCTTTTGCCAAAGCCGGAAAGTTGGTGGATGCTGATGGCAAATCCTGATGTGGCATTGCCTTCCGCTAGTCACTGTCCCTTGTGCTGTTGGGTGGGTAACAGCTGAAGATCTCCTTCCTCCCTAGACCGGCTCTACCTTGACCAAAAAGGAAATCCCTTTCGCCTTTTTAGTAGTTGCCAGTCCTTCTGTCACCTTTCTCACAAAGTCACCCTCTTCCATCCTACGTGAAGCCCATGGTGTGAATGCAGCAGTGTCCCCAATCTGTGACAGCAGTAACTAGATCAGTGGCAACGGCTGCTTGCGCCTTTTACTTGCCAGCACAAAACCACAACATTTTCTCTTGTCCCAGGAGAAGCCCATGCCACTAGGACATCCCCACAGCCTAGAGTGGCAGACATCCAGGTCTTGCCAGCACAGACAAAGCCTAGAGCATCCTAGAGACCCTAAGAACCAAAAATCGGGGTTGGGGGGGGCGCTGTAAGCATTGCTGCCTTAAGAAATCAGAGCCTGGATAAAGCCACCTGTTTATTGGATGAAAACTACTTGCACTTTTGGGGTTTTTTGATGCTGATGGCTTTCTTTTTCCATGTAAGCTCAACTAGGATAACTGTAGTATCTCTGCCAGATATGAGGACCAGGGGACACCTGCCTGCAATGGTTCATAAGCTGGCATTGCAGTTCTGGCCAGGCTGGCAAGAAGATTGCCTGACCTCTGCTGCTCTTCCTCTTCAGAACACTCTCTATGACAAAATTAAGAGGCCAGTGAAAGAATCCACAGAATAAAACCATAATACCCACACTGAGTGAGAAGTAACCAGAAAAGCCCTAAGATGTCCAAAAAGTAGAGTCAAGCTTCCACAGGCCAGCTCGAGGACTGTTTACGTAACACCTTGAGCAAGAAATTTAAATTGTATTGGTCACTGATGTAATTGTCCTATTTCAATGCATAGAAGTTACAAGTGTCTGTTGAGGGGAAGTATATGGGGAACAGCGAGAAGTGCTGAAGTAGTTCACTTGAGAATTAACAAGTGGAGTATGACAAGAACTAGAGGGCAAGACCAAGCTAGCCCCTATGTTCGCCATCGAGAAGGTTACATAGCCCTGCTGCGGGCAGCAACCCTGTAGGCATGGTAAAGGGGGTAAAACCTGTACCACATCTCTGTTACTCCCTTTTGTTGCTCAAACCAATTCAGCTCACATACTCCACCAATCATCTTGCTAAGAGAAAACCTGAGGGTTTTTTTCTTTTTCCCACTGTCTTTATCCACATCAACAGATGCTATTATGAGTCATCCAAAATCAAGTTTGACTCAACAGAAGCATGAGTAGGTCATCAAAATCAAAAATGAGAGCTAACTGCTCAAGCCAAATCACTTATAGAAAAGGAAAAGGGGGGTTTGTTATAGATAGGTAATATGGTAATTGGCTCTCACAATTAGGGGATGAATATTGTGTGTATGTTAAGAGAAGTTTTATTGATGTATGTTTACATTATGGTGGTTTGTTTTTTAGATGTCCACTGTCATCCCCATGGTCCCCCCTCTGTGTTGTTGCCACCGGACAGCCTGGGTTGTCCAGGACACCTGGAGAGAAGGCGTGTATGTGTGCCCCTTGCATGGGGCAGCTGAGAATGGGAAAAGTGTGTTGGTAGGGGGGGTGTGGTATGACAACACCTGACCTCCAATCAAGCTGCCAGAAAGCAGTCTGCACCAATAGACAGCAAAGAAGAGTTGACTGACAGACTTTGGGAGGGTCCAGGAGCAGCCATTTTGTGGGTGAGCACATGGCAGTTTAGTTCCACGCTCCCAGCACTGTCCTTTTTCCTTATTCAGTCCTTTGTTGTATTTTGTTAAGGTTTAATAAACCTCTAAAATTTTTTAAGTGAGCGGTCATTTTTTAAAGACACAAGAACAATTATTATTTATTTTAAATATTGACAAGGCTTTAAAGTTAGAAATAACTCTTGGATTAGGAGATCTACAAAGGAATTCCAGAAAGACTACATTCTAGTCCTTACCACTAATCTCTCATACTCATTACAGCCCATCACTACCTTTCCTATATTTACAGTCTCACAAAAACTACAAATGAACTACCTTCCTATAAAATCTCACCAGGATTTTTTTTCTGCTTGTGGATTGTGGCACTTTTAACAGGTAGTCACTGTTATTAAGTGTATTTATTAGTTTGATAATCTGCTGTAATCAGACCAAAATAACAAAATCAGAAATATATATGCATCAGTTAAAAAAAATAAAGCAGTTCTTCTATCAAAGAAAACATGCCTGCCTATTAGAACTCAAGATCTTAGCCCTTATTTTTAGTGCACTAACAGGGGAAGTGATTAATAATTAGAAACATGAAAATCAGCATTATGTTTGTGGACACAATACAGCAACAAATTACTGGAGTTTAAAATGATCACTTACCAAAATCTACTCTTGTTAGTATGCACTGCATTGGATGGTCAGTTGTATGCCTTGTTGTTGTTGCACCACTTTCATAACAAGTTGCACACAGATCGTAATCGTAGCAAATTAAACACTTGTACCGGCGACCTCGAAAATTTCCTTTTAAACATGCATCACAGCTGACACCTGTAAACAAATAAAATTGCTTTAAGACAGCAACAAATGCACTTATTTTTTATGAGGAAGATTTGTTGCTATTGCCTCTCAATAACTACTAAGAGCCAACCATGTCTGACATGTGCAGCTGATACAAGACTCAAATTTTTAAATGCATCTTTAAAAGACACCATTCTCCCAAAATTAGGATCTTGAATTCTTGAGGCACACTCAAGCACCTGAAAGAACAACAGGTTAAGTTCTAAAAGCTCTTTGGCTGCATCTTCCTACAGACACCTTTACCTCATAGTATCAACTGGTATTTTGATGTTCAGTCAGGAATTGTGCCCTTTTAAAAGCCAAACTGTATAATGGCTGACGAGAGGAAAGAAAAACAACAATCAACCACTGCCAAAAACGTACTAATTTTTCAGCCTTTAATTCAACACTTCCTAATATTTTAATTCTGAATAACATAATAGCCAGACATTTCATATGGTGTGGAAATCAGGATGTTTTCCCATGCTCTTTTAATTTAGCCTGCATCAGTTCTCTCCATTCTATTTTTCCTTTAGACTCATTCTTTGCAATGTAAAGTTGTCACATGTGCATGTGTATCTGACAAAGGTTTTATAGCTTCAAGAAGTTTTCATTTTTCTCTGTATGGTTTCAGTTCTCTCTGGATTGCCTGGTTAAGTGCAGAAATGGCATCATCTTGTAACCTGCAAAGGCTAACACAAATGTCTTTCAACTGCAGCAGCAAATTAAGGGCCTTCACAAAAGAAACTACAGTGTACAACTAAGGCAGGATTTGGATCAACACCTTCTTTTGGCATCACTTAAGATTTCTTCTTCACAGTCTGGCAAAAGCAGAGACAATTTTAGAGCAAAATGCCAGAACAGAAGAGTCACATTAGCCATATCCCTATTTTTTTTAAGCCTAGTTGTCAGAGGACTGGTGCGAGTTACAGAATTTTTTTTGCCTTTTTTTTTACTACTCCACTTGGTAGCATCTAATATAAGCTTTACCACAAGTAATTCAGAAACACATTAATACGCAATTTCTTTTGAATCTCTCCAAATTGTTCAAACAATTGCATCATTACATTCAGAGGAGCAGTGAGCAAAATTATTTTATCATTTTTGCCTTTAGTTTCTCCACCTACGAGGACAGCTTCAGGCACTAATAGCTTCTAATGTCTAAGCACGGTGCTTACGTGAATACTGAACCTATTTTTTATTCACCTCACTGCTTATATATTCTGCAAGCATCAGTCTACATGGATTAGCATATTAGAAGAAAGTATCTCCAGAATCTTTGTTAATAGCTGAACTATGTTTTGAGGATGGCGTGTTACCATCTTCAAACTTGGTTTGGTTGGCTTAAAAAAGAAAAAAAAAGGTCCTTCTCCCTTAACTTTCTTTTCCCTGAAGTTTCATCCATCAACTCTGAAGGATTTTTAACAAGCTGATGATTTACACACTGACAGCAGGCTAGTTTCTGAGAGCACTTTCTTGCTAAATCTGTAGTCTGAATTTCACTGCTTCAGTTGGTTTCTTTGCCTTTTTCCTCCCACACAGAGACCCACAAATTCTACCTATGCAGTGTGCAGATCTCCCCAACAATGAACGCTGTACATACAACACTTAGCAGCTACTGGCAGCACTGTGAGTCTCTTTGTTGCCCACTAAACTTTCTAGAAAACAGCTGATCAGCAAGTTAGATGTCCCATTGAAAGCAGACTAGTTCAACCTAGAGTCTATGTCAGACACTAACAGCTTTCCAACTGATGTACTAACTAACCCATGCTTCTCCAGAAGGTAGCATTTTTCCCACTCTTTTCATTTAAGCTTGGAATAACTGATTTAATGCAGATGTAAGCCTCTTAGCAACAAACTCCTGTCATATGTTCTCTCAAACATTTACATCATTCCTACTTGAAGACAGACATTTTTAAGAAGCTCTCATTTACAGATTTTCTTCATATCAATACTTCTCTATTGACTCTGACTCCATGATTTCAGAAGGCTGAACAAATCCTTTATTAAGCTATACTATATTACACCAATACTATATTAAAACTATACTAAAGAGATACTAAAGAAAAACCTGTGACCCATACCAGACAGTCACAACACAGCTTTGACCTAACTGGCCAATCACTCCAAAAAACCATCACTGGAGTCCAATTAACAAATCACTCTTAGTAAACAATCTCCATAACACATTCCACACAGGCCAAACAACAGGAGTAGCAAGTAGAGATAATTGTTTTCTCTTCTTTGTGCTTCTCACTGCCTTCCCCAGGAAAAATCCTGGGAGAGAGAATTATGTCTCTCTCTTCAGAGAATGTGAATACCACACTTCTCCACATTATTCCAAACTGCAATCTCCATATATGATGTGATACTAACTTCAGGGAAATTCAGCCATAAACATACGCCACAACAATGTTTGTATTTAAAACTTTAGAACATTTGCAGTGAAAATCTACCAGGTCTTCAAATATGATGAACTTTGTTACTTATCATCAATTATTAGAACCATCTGCTTCAAAGAGAAAAACATATTAACATAACACATCCCTATGGCTGGTGAAGTCAGACCAAGAGAACAGCAATGTTCTAGAGACAGCGTTCTTTCTACATCTCTCAAAGTTGGTATTTTACAACAATCACCACATCCTCTACTCTGAGGAACAGGCTGGCAGCAAGGGATGTACCACATTATGCTTATATCCTTATCTGTAGCAAAGAATGGAAACTGCAAAAGGGAAAATTATGAAATTATGAAATTTCGGAGTTAAATACATGGTTAAAGCCCCAGACCTTCTCTCAAATCCAGCAGGATCTCTTTTCCAGAAATTGTATTACTTATTTTCCGTTTATATAACAGTCTGAGCAAAGTCAGACCTGACAGTTCTTCCTGTTCCTTTTCAAGCCTATTACTTCGCTGCCAAAATCTTGACTATCTATCCAACATGTGATCTAGAAACTGAAATAACCAAATAATTTCCTCCCACCTTATTCTTTCTGTTATAACAAAAGCTTTTGATTTTAATCTTTAAAACTTTCATCTTTATATCAACTTAAATTCCAAAATTTAAGTTCATTCTGCCTCCAACCGCCAAAGATAACATTTTATTTAGCGCAGCATGTCTTTTAGTATGTGTCTATCCAACATTTCCCTGCGTTTTACATTTCGAAGGTATGTAACAGATTCAAGACCGTCAGATAGGGTGCATCCACATTAATCACGGGTTTTGTGAAAAACCCCCCCACATTCTGGAAAAGTTCACTTTAAAGCAGGGAACAAAAGCACAGAACCAGCCTAAGGAAAAGCATGAATACTCTGTGACAAGTATTTAGATACACTTCTGACTTGCAAGAAGTGTTACTATTGCCTTCTAAAATACTCACAGAATGAAATCCTATTAACCCAAAAGACTTGCTGTGCAATGAGAACTTCTGATTCACCTTATTGAAAATACTAGTTTGGAATGGTAAGAGTAAGAAATAGCAATTTTAGTTACAGATCACATTACATCGTACGTGGTATTTGAGGCATCCTCAAATTTTATTTTTTACTGCTATACAAGTACCAACATACAGTGCATAACACATAGCATCTAATTAAAACCTTTCTGATCAGCGTAAAATGCTCTTTTAATGCAACACTATTCCAGCAGAGGACAGCATTGTGCTAAAAACCTAAGGAACTCTGATAGTTAAAGGTGAACCAAACATCAGATTCTGAAAGTTTCTTCAGAAGTATTCCCTTGCAATATTATCAACTCTCAGTCTCTCTAGCTTTACTCTGAGTGAAGTGAGTCAGGACATACCTAACAGTCCCATCAATAAAGTATGTTCTACCCTTTCACTACAGAAGTCTTACTACATTTATATGAAGCCCACATCTCCTTTTCACCCAGGACAATTACTTCAGCATTTTACATGTTGAATGGTTTGTTGAGTGAGTCTAGGAAAAAAAAAGTTCTTTCCCAACAACTTTCATATTTTAATCCTGACAGCCAAACATACTTTGATCTTATGACACTGAACTGGTTTTGCTAGAAATTAACTAAAATGAATGTAATTGGTCCTGGGTTTAATAGATACACCAAAGAGAGCACATAATCTGAATTCATAACAGAGAGAATAACATATGGTTCAAATACTATACACACTAGGATCAATTTGTATTTACAACTACAAGCAAAGCTATAAGGTAACATCAGTGAAAGTGCCTGTAATGTCCCAAGCCATTACTGCCTTGGATAGACACACATTTGTAAAAAAAAGCAAAGGTTTTCTCCCCTACTTAGTGTCCTTGAGAACTAAGGGCAGTCAAAATAATAACAATGATATTTAAAGCCCAATAATCAGACCCAGACAAAAAATTACTTGAAAATTGTAGAAAACTCAGCACTTTTTTTCTTGTAAAGAGCATATGGTTAAAGACAAGTAATACAGAGATAGTGAAATAAGTTCCAGCCTTAACATGAGGCCTTGACTTTATCAATATTTTGAATGTATTGTTAAATTTTTAGAAATTTCCAAGAAAATACCAGTCATTAGGAAACATTTTAAACACATATAAAGCCAGCATCTGAAGTATTCAAACCATGAAAACTACAATTAGCTCCAGATAAGAATATTTAGTCATTCTGCTGTTCTGAGAATTAAATTCCTTTCTCTTAGCAATACACTAGAAGACACTAGTTTCATGGGTAGTTATTAGCATTTAGCATTCCTGTCAGCAGCTGAATATCCTAAACCCAACGTTCTGAATTCAGGTATACTGTTTTTTGTTCATCAGTGCTCAGAGTGAGAATCACTGTATTTCTTTAATGTACAACACAAATGCAAAATCAGGCAATCAATGATTTCTTCTCCAGAAAGAAAGTGCCAGCTACTTAAGAATTTCTTCCTAACCTACATGAAGTACTGAAAGGGTTCATCCTTCTAAAGACAAAAAGCATTACATGGAAGAGTACCACTCAGTTTCAAGGGACCAGACAAACATTAAG